ACCAGCTCGCCTGGGTGAGCAGGGGATTAACAGCAAGAGAAGGAGATCCCAGCGTAGCCCCCAGCCCCTCGCCCAGGGGTGTTCAGACTCCTGGGTGAAATGGTCCATCACCAGTGCAGTGGCCAGGGCAAATTTATTTCTCCTTGCTAAAAAAATACTGTAGCTGGTTCTGCGCTCCCCAGGAGGACATATAATTATAAGAGGAGATATCAACTTTCCCTAGGTTAGAGACCTAACACACCATACTGGTCCATAGCCTCCCGCCGTGCCCTGTTAATCCCCCTGAGCTCATTACAACAGCAAAGTCCTCCAGAAGCAGGCGACGAACTGCCAGGACAGGGAGGCTGGTTTCCAGCGAGCCCTAAAGGATGCTTAAAGTATTCCTCAGACGCCCCCGTAGCTGTGGAGCAGTGTGAGGATTGACCCGGAGAGACGCCCAAATTCAACACACAGACCCACGCAGGGTGCAGCTCCGCTGGCTTGCCAACACCTGCCCGGGGACAGATCAGGCAGACCGATCCCCCAGCTGCCTACAGGATTCTCCAGTTAAATGCCTGGTTATTTATCAAAGCAAATTCTGCAGTTCAGTTTGTGCCAAAATGCCACTTGTTTTGTCTACATTTTTCTCTGGGAAATTAGAGCATAGAGGCTTATTGTTTTTAAAATGACTTAGGCGCCTGCCCATGCACAGAACCAGCCTTAAAGATAGCAGGGGTCTGATGTGCAAATGAATGGCAGGATACAACCCCCTGGGAATATTTGTTCCCATTAAGCTTTGCAATTTTTTTGAAAGCATGTAGGCATTTAAAAGAAATATTTACCAGTTAAACAATAATGGCTCCAAAAGAGCAACTGAGATCACTGGCCCATCCCCTGTATTTCCTCATGGGTACACTGAGGTTGCTGATTGAACTGGAGCTGTCTCAGGTCATGCTGCACCCTCCGGGGCAGCTGATGGGTGCTAAATGTGCTGGTGTGGGGCTCTCAGGTGGACCCACATAAAAGGAGCATAAACTGCTTTGGTGAGATCCTCCCTCGGGAAGGGAGCAGAGCAGAGGGGAATCAGCTCTGGGACAAGCTGGTGAAGATGGAGCTCCGTTGCCAGGGAGGACGGAGCTCATGGGAGACAGAATCCCTCCCAGCAGCAAGGGAAAGGCTTGCTGATGCTGGTGGAAGCACAACTCCGCGTTACATGGCATGTCACATGGCACAAACAGGTTTGCTTGCTCTGTCTGGATCCAGCCTACCTCTGGGGAATGATTTCAGCTCACTTAATCTCATAAGCACGAAGCACAGGCAACTTTTCCCAAGAGCCTTGAAGGGACAGTAATTATCTTATTATGCAGAGAGTGTTACTGTTTATTCTGGTGTATTGGGGAGATGAAGAGCCTGATACTCAACTTGTTTAATAATTGCAAAATGCATTTTGAAGCCAATGGAAAGCTTCTCCATCTGACCGTACTGAAAGCACAGGATCTCATTTCGCAGCCAAGACACTCACCTTATCCGTGGTGCTCCATCATTTGTCCTGGGCAGGGATCCTTTCCTTAAGGAGCATCTTGGTTTCTTACTGTCAGAACAGAAAAAGCCCACTGTTACACTCCCCTTGTCATGCAGGCAGAAATCAGTGACCCAGCCCTTGCCCATGGACATGGTGTGGCATTCCCTGGATGCTCCCAAAGGTCCTTGCGGAGCAGGGTGGAGGACGAAAGCAGGATCGTGGCTACAGAGTACCCGTGTGTGGCAATGGCACTGAGCTTGCACCGCAAAGGCTCGCTGGTGTGCCGGAGAGACACGGACACCATGATACCGGTGGTAGGTCACAGGGAGGCCCATCCCTGCCCTGCTGTGCAGTGCAGGCTGCACAGCGGGTGTTTTAGGAGCATCCTATGGGTCCTGATCCTCCCCTCGCTCACACGAGCTTGCAGC